TCAATTATCTGTCTCTATATCTCTCTATCTACAATTATATATGCCGTCACTCTTCCTCTCCGCTTTATTTGCCGGGCTTATATACAGAAATAGAGGGCGTCTGGCAAACACTAGAGTTGCCAGGAACAGTAATGATCCTTCTAGAAACTCATGATGTGTTACCAGCGTCACGTGACTTCCGCTGTCGTAACATTTCTTTTTAAATTTAAATTTTAGTTCACTGTACTACATTTTAACTTTTAATACTGTGTCTATTTACTGCATAATCTGTATGTGATTTTGTTATTTCAATTCAATTGCCTTATATTAACTACATACTTCAAGTTTAACTTATTTTTAGTTTTAATGTGGATCGTGGTTTAGTAGTTTTATTTATGTTTGGTAACTGGAGTTTATTTGTGTAAAAAATTCTTTATGTATTCGACGAGCTTGTGTCATGGTGTCTTCATTATTGGTTCAAGAAAGTGATTTACGTAGACTTCTCAATTCATTTTGGGCCTAGGTAGCGTGGAGTGTAACAGTTGGAAACTACTAACATTTTACCAATCCATAATAGTATGTTTAGATAGAATGTTTCAAAACGTTCATACAAATGTTCTTGAATTTATTTAGAGCCCTTATAAACAGGATGTAGTCAGCATTTGTGTGTGTGTTAATTTCTGCCTAGAGCAGGTTACACACTGCAGGAGTCACTCTACAACTTATCCTTGCTTGTATGGACTGTTGTATTACTCCTTTTGTTAAGTGGATTGTACTCCAATTTGAAGAACTAGAATCTGGTCTGGATAAGCAGTAAAATTATATCCTCTTGAGTAATATGAGTATGACATCTGACGTGAATAACTTAGGGTTATGAAATATTAAATGAAGGTGATGATTTATGTATATTAAAGCTCAATGTGACACAGTTCTTCTACACTTGACCAGTGTAAGTGTGGTTATCATAATCTCCAACAACTAGTCAAGCCACAACCTATATGTTGGCCAGTTACCACCAATAGGAAAACTACATACAACGAGTTTCTACATAAACACCCAAACACTGCTACTTGTATAACAATAAATATCGTTGTTTTGTTTGTGTTAAACAACCGTTTCATTCTCTTTTATGTTATTGATCTGTGTTTGAGTTATGCTCTGCAAAACAACTTTCGGTCCTCCCATGTTATTGATCTGTGTTCGATTTATGCTCTGCAAAACAACTTTCGGTCCTCCCATTGTACACGAGATTTATAGTTTGCCTGTAGAACACCGATGTACCTGAAAACTAACTATGTATCCATGATCTCAACAAGTCCGTATCCTATAACTCAAGGACATTCTAGTGTATCAGGATAAGTATCTAATAGTTCTTGATATATATGTATATCAATTTCTTTTATTACTAGCTCCAAGACTTCCCGCTATAGGTATCGATGAATGCAACCAATTACTACAGTTATGTGTATCAATCACAATCAATGTATTTAAGTAATAACACCAAAATAATTATATGTGTCAGTGAATATATCCAGTAGCTCCAGGACTTTCTATATGTGGTTCGGTGTATACAACCAATACTTACAGGACCTTTAAACTTCTGGCTACATGTTCATATGTTTATTATATAGCTCCAGGACCTCCAGTTATTATTTCCGAAGAATGCTCATCAGAGAACAACACTATCACTTTGGTATGGCAGCCTCAACTCCTCAGCTTTGTAGAATACTACAATGTTGAAGTGGAAGAGGGAAACAATGGTTTTTATAAAGTATGAATTTATGATTAAATATTCTATATCTTAAAAATTTTATTGATAAAAATGTTGTGGACCTTGTCCTTATTCGTATTAGCCATGGAATGCTATCATTATTAATTGTTAATTTGTTATAGCCATATTTATTTCTTTGTTTTTAATCTTCAATACACAAATATTTAGTATTCTACTTTCGTGTTGCATGTAATGGAAGCACACAAACTAATTCCATTTCCTAGTTAGACATGAAATAAATTTACCGAATTAAAAATTATCGCGTGACTGTAATACCATTTTCTTATTGTTCATCAGATAGTCCATAAGTGAAATAATTTTTTCTATTTATTTATCAAAGACTGTCTTGGCAGATCTATGTCATGATGTAGTTCATATTTGTTTCTAAAAAGTCAAATACAGGCTCTTAGCTCGTCTGGTGTGTAAAAGCTTCGCGTTTCATGCGTGTTAATTAATGTGTCAGTTATTCATACTGATAACTAAATTAAATTGATTATCTTGTGAATGATTATCATATTATATATTTCAGTAGATTGCTGGGGTTACAAGTTATGAAATCTGGGCAGTGATAATTTTATATGACAAACGTATGAGACACCAATAACGTCTTATTTAATTTGTGTTGTTGTTTCAAGATTCATATTAAATACTTTTTTATTTGATTAAATACATGCTCACTTTTCTAAAAGTTTCAGGTTTTTGTAGTGGAATAATAATGTTCTTTTTATATATTTACTAAAAGTTAGCTTTTCTCTGTTTTTCTTTATTTTCTTTCTTTTTTTTTTTTCGTTTACAAGTTAGCTCTTCTGGGTTCACGCAGAAACAAATGAAATTTGTACGTAATTTCTTCTTTGTGATCTATAGGAAATATTTTGTAAAAGAAGATACATTTTTGAGTTAGAAACAGCTTTCTGTATTAGGTAGTCACGAGGAATTGTGTGTTTGTGTGTAAATGAACTTAAGAGAAAAAGTTATAT